ATTCGTCTCTCTCTATATTCGTTCTATTCGATATTCGTCACATTTTTCGGCAAGAAATCGTTTCGATACTCGTCCAAAAATCCAATATTTCGTCGCCAAAAGTTTCTTCTTATTTGATTCACTTTCTGTCATCACTTTCAATCAAACTTAAATTCTATTCCGTTATGAGAATCCATTATCGTTTTTCACCCCCATTAATCATTCATTTCGTCAATTCTTATTAAAAGATCGATTCTTCGATTATTCATCTCGTCCATTCTTCAAGATTAACGACTAAATACAGAGATTCTATCGCGTCCGAAATTTGCGGAAAAGAACGATATTAAGGACTCTTATTTGCAATTCTAACTTAGTATTTTTGCCGAGTTCGTGATAAATCCCGCTTATGAATCTCATTATTCCCGTTAGATCGAAAATATTTGTGGCCAGGTAGCGTGCTCGTCCAGGTGGATTTGCGGAAAAACAAGTGGATAGTTATTTTCCGCTAGACAAGAGCCACCACATACCTTTGCTTTCATCTGGACGACAGGAAATATTGCATTCGACTTTGAAGCATAACATATTGTTCCATATGATTAATGTGTCTTCGTTCGTCTCTCCATCGCGTTTTCTTTCCTTTTCTTTTTTTTTTTTTTTACCCTGTCACACCCCCTTCAAACCAATTCATCCCTTGCTTTTCTTTTCCTCGCGTCGATGGCACGACACGTTCAATTGAAATAAAAAGAAAAAAAGGATCGATGTAACTGGAGAAATCTTTTTTCTTTCATCAATTCTTTTCAGCTTGAAATCCTTTTTTTTTTTTTTGACTAACGAATTATTAAACACGTGGAAACGAACTTAAACATTAATCAAATTCCAATTACAATGCAATTACAATCAAAATTTCTTGACTACAATTTCTTTCGCATACACTGTGAGAAGAAAACTCATCGAAACTGCAGAAACTAATTCATAACAATGTATAATTCCACGAACAAGAAGCAACGTGTTCTACTTTCTGCAATTAAGTAGATTGCACCAACTTTCCAATAAAAAAAAGGCCGCATAATTTGCGGCTACTGGTAAAAAGAGGAAATTCGGAAATTCAGATATATATATATATATATATATATATATATAC